TTTAAGAAAAGCCTATATAAAACAATTGCTCTAAAGAACAATACTTTTGACACAATTCTTTATTATCTTAGCCACCCTAATAGTATGCAATAGACAAACATAAACAAATAACTAAGTGCTCACATACATACATATGAAGAAATATATTTATATTACTACATATACATATAATTCTTTAAAAATAAATTTGTTGTTATTTTAACTAAAACTAGTGTTTTATACTATTTTATTTGCTGCCATTTCTTTTTTTTTTTTGCTATATATTGCTGTGAGTGTTTTTAGTTTTACTGTTTGTGTCTAAGAAAAGTGGTTGTAGTGTCAAGAAGGATACGTTTAAATTTCCTGAATTTCAACAATATAATAAAGTAGTTTTTCCTCAGCAACTAGGTCAACTGTAAGAAGCAGCGTTAAAAAGATAACTAACTCTTTGAATATTGTGTGGATATGTGTGTTGGGGGAAAAAAACTTATCCAAATATTAACAACAACAGACAAAAGCAGCAACCAGATTCTTTACACTTAATAGTTACTAACTCAAATGCACTCATAAACACACATTTAGTTACTCACATATGTTTTAAAACATATACTTACATACAGTAGGTATGTATGTTTGTAAAAAAGATAAAAGCAAGGAACAACTTTAAGAAAATAGAAACCACTAAAGAGTGCAAGTTTTAAATGACCAAAAACTGCAGCGGCTAAATAACTGCAAGATATAAAACCATTTTTATTTTAAAGTGGCACACAAAGTATTGGGAAAAAAGTTTTGTTTGAGAGAAGAAAAAAAAAACTGACCTAACATTTGCTCTACATACCAATGGTTACTACTGGCGTGAACAATATAATCAGCCACTATTAAAATAGCCAATAACAGCAACCAAAACTAAACCATGTCTTAACAATTACGAAAGGAAGCGTCAAAGTTCTTAAGCTGAAGCTAGTGCGAAGGGGGGCAAACTCTCTGCTTACTGACACCTACTACAGATCCACATATAACAAATCTCAAGATTTTTAGAAATCGTACTTCTTGGGAGAGGGATAGTATGAAAATATCTGAAAACTAAATCATCAACTTAATCAATAGTCTGGAAAATTGGTTATTTCATGGGAAACTTTTCAAACACTTTCCCGTCTAGCCTCGTTTGTATAAAATAAGTTCTATATTCGTTTGGAGATGTGTGAAAATGCAGAACAAGTTTAAAAAAAAGCCAAAAGCAAAGAAAATTCCCCAAATAATGATAACAAACAAAAGTTATTTCTTTATACACTTAAAAAATAATTTAATACAACCCATATGTTCACTAGACTACTGCAAGTTTTATATGGGAAAATCATCATATAGAAAATGCAAAATCTTAGTAAAAAAAATTTAAGATTTTATTTAATAAAAAATGTTTAAACTATAGGACTCAGAGGGAAAATCGTAAGAGAATTGTTTTTAAAGTTATAGCCGCGTGACAAGTGCAAAGAGGATGTAAAGCAAAGGAACGTTATAATCAGTTAATTTAACACATTACTTTCATAACAGGAATGTTCCTTTTTAGGTTTCATTTTCATAAGTTTCTGAAGTCATGATTATGTTATCATTTGGAAGCACTTATAATGTTGTTTGAAAAATTTTAATTTTTGATGTTTTTACCGTATAAGTTATTTCAGATTATTTTCATAATATATCACTGAATTATAAGCCATTGTCATTCCTGTACAAAATAACTTCCTAGAAATCAAAAAAGAAGTTAAAGTTTGCTTTTCATTAGTTGCAAATCTGTGCTGCAGAAACTAAATATATCATGTCAATACGTATTTTTGTCCAATAAGTTATGTTAGGTAAACATGCAAGTCGGCTTGGGATGCCCTTCAATGACAGTAGTTGCAAAAATACAGAATGAATAAAACCTTGGCAACTACATCATATCCATAATTAGTGAGTTATCTGGGTTCAAACTTAATGACATGTTGAGATTTCTTATGGCTATATGCTGGATCTAATACTATACAATACTACATCTGATAAGTGTTGTAGTCCTACATAGAGGGATAAAGAAAGAAGTAGCAAATCGATACCAAACTGTTTATAATTTTTCAATAACATCCGTTGTCAAACTATATACATACGTACGACAACATTATGTAATGTTGACAACATTGCAACAATTCGTTGTAGGAATCTAAATTTTATACACATCCGTTGTCCAAATGTTAACAAACGTGGTAAGCTCATTATTGACAAACAATCCGTTGATTATAGTGAGTTTACCACGTTTGTGAACATTTATGGCAACGGATGTGTATAAAATTCAGATTTCGACAACGAATTGTTGCAATGTTGACAACGCAACGTGACATAGTGTTGTCGTACGTATGTATGTATACTTTGACAACGGATGTTATTGAAAAATTATAAAATCTTTGATGTCAATTTGGTACCAGGCGTGTATATATATTTTTCCCTTTGTGTAGAAAAACTGAAACCCTTCAATTCTATTTGATTGCTTGTGCAAACTAAACTACTATGATAACCAAGCAACCATTACCGGAATCAATCTCTGCGACTACTGGACCAGTCAAATTACTCTCCCACTTAGGAAATTTGGATAATATTTTTGGTTAAATAGACAAATAGAACAAAAAAATTTATTCAGATGAAAAAACAAGTAGGAAAGTATAGTCGGACATGGCCTATATGTTGTTATGTTAAATTTTACATTAATTCCGATCAATTTAAGCAATTTATTGTATGGAGGCTAGGGTCAAACGATGGCCCATCATTATACAACTCGGCATAATCATTTATGACTATATAAAACTTAGTTTTTGGAGAGATAGTAGTATATTTGACGTAGTTATGAGTTATAAACCTCAAATCGGAAGGTCAGGTTGTATGGAGGCTAAGTGAAATAATCAACCGATTACAACCATTTTCAATAGGCAATAGGTCCTTGTAACGAAATGGACAGCCAGCCAGCATGTCTTAATCGATTTAGAAAATGATTCCTGGTCGATTGGTAATATCAGCACAAACGCATTATAATTAGGTCAAAGTTAAAAGTCTTTGTTATTGAATCAGGAACTTTGTTGGATATTCTACAGAGATTTTTCCAAATTTTGAACAGTTTAATATGAAATCCTCCTTATATTCTAGCATCTCTATGTTTAAAACAGTTTGCAAAAATTGCAATTGAATTTTCTACTTTTCTTATTTCCTTATATACACCACAATACAATCTTCACTACTTGTTTACCACATTTCTAACATTCCTGATTTTGTTAATATTTTTTTTTTTATTTCTTATTTGGGTTTTTTACTTTCAGCAGCAGCAAAATTAAGGGAAATATACTGAATTGATCATGGCAGGAGTAACGCCTAGAAATTTTCTGAAATCTTATACAATTTTATGACCATGATACTACTGCCATCCTTTCCCTGTGTAAAAGGCAGGATGGGGTCTTGATATGTAGTTACACTTGGGGGTAATACAATTTTTTAACAAAACCAAGCCTATAAAAGAATTAAAGAACTTAAGCTTAAGTAAAAAAAGTCTAAAATGCTGTTGTTGGGTATGTAGCATTCGTTTAAGCCGATTATAATATTCTTACTTGTTTGCTCTCTAATACTCTAAACAAATAATAAATTTTCTTTCGTTTTGTTTTACTTTAACCTGCTTTCAAGGAAAACTAGTTGAGAGTATGAAAAACTATGAGGAAAAGCTTAAAAGAAAATAAATAAAAATAGTTAGAAGAGCAAAAACGAAAAAAATTGTATCGAAGTATTGCTTAAAAACTTAAGTGATAATAGTTTATCATACATACTTGTAGTTTTTTTTTGCTATATAGATTTTTCTTTTCTCACACTTAAAGTTGTTTCCTTTTAAGTTTTTTTGCTGTTGTTGAGTTGCTATTGTATTGAATGAAAACTTTTTATCGTTGATAAATAATAGTCATACAATAGTAGAAATTATTTCTATTTAAAAAAGCATTTAATAGTTAAAATATGATTACAATAGATTGATTTTTTTCTATATATTAAAAGTTCTATTAAGGTTTAATGGTTGAGAGAAGTTATTTTTTTATCTTTTCAGTTCATGAAATGCTTTGAAAGGGACATGGTAAGGGTAGCAGTAGCTTTACATTAGAAGCAAAACTATACTTAAATGCTTTACAAAATATTGTAGCTTCTATGAACCTAAGAAATAAAAAAGCTGATAACACTTTCCTGAAGCACAAAACTATCCCCTTAACTGACTCTATGGAGCCAGGAGGAGATTATAGAGATGTCCTCGAAGGATTTCATGACTACTTTCTTAAATAGTGACAGAACTAAACAATTAAAATCTTTGTAAAAGTAATTCTAAATTTTAATAAGTTATATACGGTTAGAAACAGAGGGCGAAGTCGATTTAAATTTTCTCAAGCAACTAAATATAGTCCGCCGGCGACTAAGCGCCAAATCGAAGCCGGTCGACTTCGCCCTCTGGTTAGAAAGCTTTGTGATATCCTTTAATATATCCGTTATTTGTCAAAGAATTCTCTGATGAAAGTTTTTTAAAAAATAAGAATTTGACAATAAGTCCATAATAATTGAAACTATTTTTATAAAAACAAGAAATTATATAAAAGTTTTGAAATCGAAATGACTCGGACTAAATCGGAAATATATAACAGTTGAAAAAAAATAATCACTTCCCAGAATAAACATGAGTAACTTTTGGCCAGTAGCAGCAGTTAAGACACACAGATATAAACACACACATACTTATAAACATTTATGTAAATAGATACATTCACACACACACATTTAATGTAACACTTTCTTTGTGCCATTTAAATGTTTAATATTTTTTTATGACAAATAAAACTTGTTAACGAATCAGCAAATAAAATTTCATATTTATCATGTATGGAGTTAAAACACAAATATTTTTTCATTTTTCAAAAAATAAATTTTAAAAAAAATTTAAAATCTTATAATAAAAAAAGTTTGATAATCCAAAATTCTACCTGTGGGAGTTTATTGCTGTAGCAATTAAATATAGTTTAACAACAATTTAATTATTATTATTAAATTTTTTTTCTAAATAAACAATTAAATTAACAATTATTGTAAACAAAACTTTTTTTTATTATTTCATAAAAACACAATCTTTAAATAATTATGTAAATATATTCTTTGTAATATTTCAAAAATTTCAGTTTGTTTTGTTTAAAGTGTAGAAGAAGAGGTTTAAATATCCGTTAAAATTGAAAAATTGAACTTTTCACTTGGTCGTATACAGCACGACTGATAATGTAGAAACTTTTCTCTAGCGGTTTTTAGTGTTAAGTAGACCGCACAATTGTTTATTTATGTATTATCAATTTCAGTATCAAGGTGGCAGCAGAGCTGAGCAGAGCCAGAGCTGTTGTATAGTGTCAGTCTTTAGAGCCAAACTGTTAAACGTTTGAATGAGCAAGTAAAGCAGGCTTTAAGCAAACCAACAGCACTCACACACAAACAAACACACTTAAATGCTTAAATCCAACAAGTGTCTTCTTTTTTTTTCAGCTTTACAAAAGTTTAAAGCTGAAGTTGGACTTGTTACTGTTGTTGTTGTTGTAAAAATGTTTAAGCTGTTACTGGCTCAAGACTCTGCTGCTATTAACCATAACTGGCTGGCTGGCTCTTGCAAACAACTTTTAACTCTTTCTTTCTTTAGTTTATTTTGTTTTTGTTTAAACTATTTTTATAACTTTTTGTTTTTGTTTCTTTCATATGCTTTCTTTACCTTTTTTATTAAAATTTTATTTTGTATTTGATTATTTATTTTGTAATTTTTTTTCAAAAAATTCTTTCGAGTTTTCTTCGTGTTTTTTTTTTTAATTTAACTTTTTCTGTTGTGTTACTGACTGATCAATTTCACACCGCGTCGCGTTTTGAACACAACTGTTTAGTACGACTTAATGTCTGCAACTGATCTTGCCTCAGTGTTTTAAGTTACCATCATACTTGTTTGGCTAAAATGGAATTTCTTTTTCTATCTTTCTTTCTTTTCAGTCTGCCAGTCTTTTAGGAAATTTTGACTTATACTCGTACGTATCAATGTTTTTTCTATGTTGTTGTTCTTTTTATTTTACGTTATTATTACCCAGAAGTTTGTACTACTTGTTTTTTTATGAGATTTTTTTTCGTTTATTACTTCAATATTTTTATTGCTATTTGTTTTATTATTCATACATACATACACATTTAGCTGTTAAGTAAACTTTACAGTTATTTTTCAAGTCTTGGTCTTGTAATTATGTAGATGTAGTGTTAAGTTATTTAACAACTATGTATGTACCAACCATAATAACAACTACTCTACAGATTCTTCAATAGACGCACCTTTTATGTTCTTGTAAAACTTAAATTATTGTCTAGGTTATTATGGGTAACTGCTTTAACACATCTTTATGTTGAAGATGTTATAATTAAGCTGTAATGTTTGTACTGACTAAACACTAAAAATAGTTGTAGTTTTTCGTTTGCCTAGTTAGGTCGGGCATAGTGATTGATTATGGGGAGGTCGTTTATCTATTTATAATGTATTTAATAATCTTAACAAAACAGAGTAGTCAGCAGCTAGAGGAAAATATACCAGAAAATGCTAAAAGTTCTAGCAGAGAGACAGGCAGACGGACAGACGGACGGACAGACAGACAGACAGACAGACAGACAGACAGACAGACAGACAGACAGACAGACAGACGGACATATCTAAATCGAATCAAGAAATTATTCTAAGCCGATTGGTGTACTTAAGGGCCAATATTATTGTGGGTTACAAACATCAGCACAAACCCTATATATACCCGCCCCATTTAAGTGGTGTAGGGTATAAATATGTGTTTAATTGAATTTCCCACCAAATATCGATTTGTTGAGTGAAATTTTAAAGCACCATTTTTCTGGAAACTTTAAGAGATATGGCAAAAGAAGTGCAAATCTGTAATCATTTGAATTTACCCCATAGAATAAAGATTTGAGTGAAAACATAAAGAAACTATAAGTAAGAGAAATGCAAAAGGAGGACATATCTCTGAAGTTAGTTAGTTTTGACGTTATGAAACACCAAAAAGAGTCACAATGTCCATGGACATTGTGACACTTCTGAAACAAAAATATATTGGAAAATTTGTTTAAAACTTAGGAAAAGGACACCCTTATTCCGAAATGAATTGTTCCTAAATTTGATGCTTTTTGGATTCTTTTAAAAATTTTAAACTCTGGGGTATTTCATTTTGCTCAATGGACACTATGACTTAATTCAGTGTGTCATAACGTCAATGGACATTATGACACTGAACATTCTAACATCAAATCCGAAGAAATACGCCTAGGCCTCTATCGGGCCTGTTGTGCGCACTGGTAACCTCAGGTGGGAATCGAACTCAGCACCTCCGGTCTACCAGACTAGAACACTAGCTACCGGAGGCCAAATTTTTATGCACACTATATCGTCACAGTCGGATACTACTTTTTACTATTTATACAGTAAGAGAGGGTATATTGATTTTGTCATTCCGTTTGTAAAACATCGAAATATTGATCATAGACCCACAAAGGTATATATATTCTGGGTTCTTATTAAATTCTAAGACGATCTAGCCATGTCTGTCCGTCCGTCTGTCTGTCTGTCTGACCGTCTATCTTTCTGTGTGTCTGTCTGTTCTGTCCGAACGGAATGAGTTAGAGGATTGAAATTTTCCACAAATATTCTCTGTAGGTAAGGTTTGTTTGGTATTGAAAATGGGCAATATCGGTCTTCGGATAGCCCCCATACAAGTGGACCCCTCAAAAACAGCCTTAACGGTCATATTTGTTTTAAAAGTACGAGTATAGCGATGAAATTCAACGTATATAAGTTTCATATGATTCAAAATCTCCCTAGTAAATTTTGTGAGGATCGGTCCATAATTGACCCTACCCCCATATAAGGTCCCCTTTATAAAGTGACGCTTTTACTGGCTTAAAAATACGAGTATAGTGATGTAATTCAACATAAGTTTCAATGTAGCCAAAATCTCTCTACCAAATTTTATGTAGATAGGTCCACAATTAATCCTACCTCCCATATAAAGTCCCCTTCAAGAAATGACTTTAACAATCATTACTGGCTTAAAAATACGAGTATAGTAAGGATATTCGACATACTTAAGTTTTAATGGAATCAAAATCTCTCTACCAAATTTTATGTGGATAGGTCTACAATTGACCCTACCTCCCATATAAGGTCCCCTTTGAAAAATGACTTTAACGCTCATTTAACGCATTCCTTTAACGGCATACAGTTTGATGGTGGGTATATGAGATTCGGCACAGGTTTCTTATAAGCCATTGATAAATTTGATATGAAATTATACAACAAACCTAACAATACTAAATGAAATAGTGCTAAAACCATAAATTGAAAAAATATTCATATATTTTATCCAATGATCAGCAGCAATGTTGCCTGCAAGTGCTCCTTTTTAATTAATTATATAAATAATTTTATGCCAAAAAGCCTTAAGGTTTATTGGCTTTTATAAAACCAAACGAGCCATGACTATAAGTGTATAAATATTTTAATAATACTTAAAAAGGATTGTTATAGCGGCTCTAGGGTAGAAAATATTATTTCATATGCAAAAATCGCTTAAAGAGACGCAATTAATAATTAACAGCAATAATATGAACATATTATGACGACAGTTATTTTCAAAAAAAAAATAATAATTACTTGATCGTTTAAGTGGTTAAATAAATTTCTGTCAATTCATTTATCACAAAAAACAGAAGAAAAGAAACCATTACAAATACAAAAAAATTATATATATAAAGACATTTGGTAATTTATTTTTTTTGTAGTTTTTTTGTTAACCAAAGTGAAATCGTGTTAAAACAGTACTCATATGCATGAATTATAATTAAATGTTGATTTTTTCATTTAATTTTACTTGCGAGTACTTAACTACATTTACGCACATATACACATATGTAGCTGCTACAAAACACACATAGATACTTGCATACATCTACAACTACAATGTTGACTTAAAAGTTGGCTAAAAGAGTTTTAAAAACGACAACATAGTGTTGTGGTATGAATACCAAATGGAGATTATGGTGTCTTATTCATGTGAATGAAAATAAGCCAAAGCCAAACTTTGCCATAGAGTGATTTCTGTTTTTTTTTTTTTTTAATTTTAGTTTTTAAAGAATGTTCCCGATAGAGTTATTAAATGTTGGGGGAAAACTTTTCTATAACATTTACGTTATTTAATATTTTAAGACACTGAAACTACATTTAATAATATTTAAAAGTTTTTGTGTAATAACACTTGAAATTCTTCGAAAATTTTCATAAATTTTTTTTATGGAAAAATGTTGAAATTTTTATTGCTGCTCAGTCTTTTTTATTTATATACATGAATGTCCGGGATAATATGTATAGACAAGCTTATAATAACTAAATATTATATTTTAAATATGGCATCAGAAACCCAGTTAGCTGATTGTTTATTTACTCTTTCTTTCTTAATATTATTTCAACAATTTTAATTTTATGTTGCTAGAGTATACTATGCGTGCGACATAGTGTTGTCTATAACATTTATGTTTTTGCAACAAACTTTATCAACTACAAACATAGACACATACATACACACATACTCTGTATGTACAAACAAACCAAGAAATCGAACTAAATGAACAAACTCAACCAACATGTTCTACTTGATTTTATGTAGTATGTATATGTGCATTGTTGTTGTTGTAGTTTTAATTATATTTCTTACTCTATGACTTTTTAATGGATCATCGTTAGACATATAAATATACTTAGAAAATTTTATTTACCTAATATTTTCAAAAGTTGTGGTACAACCGCACAGTGGTATAGGAAAAAAAAAGAGGGAAATAATTCGGTAACTTCTAAACGGTTAATCCGATTTTAATGAAATTTGGTATGCACAAAAAGGAGGTGTTGTCGAGTTTAGGTTTTGAATTTGGACCTTATAGGCCAACCAGGGGCCCGGCGGGGGGTCCTCAAATTAGGACACCTCGGCTATGTTAAATTTTTAAAACGATCTTATTTCTTCATTTGAGTTCCGATTTAAAAAAAATTTCGTATATAGAATCTTCTCATCGAGCACTATAAAAAATGTCGTCGTAGCAGTAAATTATCTCTTATAGTTTAGGAGATATTCGCATTTGAAAATTAAAATTTTAAAATTTTTACCGTCCTTACTTTAGTTTTTTGATAATAGCGGGTCCAAATATTCCCGATTTTCGCCATTTTTTTTTTATTCGCTTAACAACAAGTCTATATATCAAGCAGTGAAAGAATTATGTAAAAATCATGACTGAGTCCAAAGTTATAGGCATTTTAATTTAAAAAATTAAAAAAAGGCGATTTTTTGCCATTTTTTTGGGAAAATAGTATCTTTTTCTTTTTAAGTTA